CCAGGGGCTAGCAGCTAGTTTTACACTTCTCAAACTACAGCTCAGGAGCTGCTCCCCCCCTGATGTGTCTCCTATTAACAACGAGCAATAAACAGAATTGGCTCAAATCTAGGCATTGTAAGAATAGAAACTACAAAATATTCTTCAAATAAGTCTGGCCAGCACTCTCCCACAAATACACACAGTGTCCATGGGAAACGTGGACACAATGGTACAAGGGGAGCAGGGAACACATGTGGGACACATGTGGCTAAGGCAACTTATGCCTCTGGAACTGTATGGATGGTGTTGGCACGCAGTGGTCTAAGGGTCACAAAGAGTAGGACAGGACTAAACAACAAGCCCTCTTCTCTTGTCTCTCTATGCATCCTCTTCCTTGGTTCTCTCATCTACTTCCATAGTTTTAATATCACCTGTATGCAAACAATTTCCAAATCTAGATCTCAACCTTTAACCTCATCCCAGAGCTTCAGGCCTCTATTTTCCAACTGCCCACTGGATTTCTCAACTTGAATCACAAAATTACAGAATCTCAGACTTGGAAAGGATTTCAGACTCATACCTGAACAAGTAGCCTCCTTAAAACATACTTGACCAATAATCATACAATCTTTGTTTAACACCTCTAGTGAAGGGGAACCCACGACCTCCCAAGGTAGCCGTTAGATTTTTAGACAGCTATCATTTGGCAAAAGTTTCTCCTTACGTTCTGCCTCTTTCTACTCACTGCTCCTAATTCTGTCCTTTTGGGCCGAGAACAAGCCTTATCCATTTTCCGGATTCTCCACTTAGCATCTCTTGCTCTGCCTGGTTTCAGTTCCACAGAATAAGAAGCCCGGTTGCTGTGCAGCTGATCCAGGTCTTGACCCACACTGCCTCCCTTCACCTCTTCTCTGACTGGAGGGCTGGAGGGAGAGTGCCAGACTCAACTGGACTCTCAGCTCCCTCCACTTGGCACCTGCTGCTCTACCTGGTTTCCACTCCATGAAACAAGATGTCCCTGAGTACTGTCCCCTTTCTCCCCTTCTTTTCTTGTACCCTTCTGTGTGGTGTTTCCCACCATTAGATTGTAAGCTCCTTCAAGGTAGGCACTGTCTTTTTATTAATTGTATCCATGGTGCTTAGCATATAATAGGTTCTTAATAAATGTTTACTGGATTTATTGGATTGGATTTTCTATATGATAGTCCTTAAAATACCTGAAGACATCTGTCAAGTCCACCCAAAGCCATATCTTCTCCAGGCTAATCATCCCCAGCACAGTGTCTTCAGCCTATCATGATATCTCTCATATGGCATGGGAAGCCCTTCCCCACCCTGATCACTTTCTAATTTATCAATTCAGTTCAACAAACATTTATTAAGGACTTACTAAGTAATGGCAGAAAAATGCAGAGAAAAAAGTACTAAATTTGAAGTCAGAGGATTTAGTCCCAGTTTGACTACTTATTAATCAATCAATAAACATTACGCACCTACTATGTGCAAGGCACTGTGCTAAGCATTAGAGAGCAAAAGACAGTCCCTATCCTCAAGGGGCTTACAATCCAATGGGGGAGACAACATGCAAACAAACATATCCAAAACAAGCTACATACAAGATAAATGAGAAATAATGGAGGAAAAGCACTGGATTAAGAGGGGTTGGGAAAGGCTTCCTGTAGAAGGTGGGATTTTAGTTGGAACTTAAAGGAAGCCAGGGAAGCCAGTAGTCAGAGTAGAAGAGGGAGAGGGTTTCAGGCATGGGGGACAGCCAGAGAAAATGCCCAGAGCTGAGAGATGGGAGTGTGTTGTTCATGGAACAATAGCTAGAAGGCCAGTATCACTGGATCAAAGGGTACCTCTTGGGGAGTAAGGTGTAAGAAGACTGGAAAGGGAGGAGGGGCTAGGTTATGAAGGGCTTTGAATGCCAAATAGGACATTTTGTATTTTATCCTGGAGGCAACAGGGACACACTGAAGTTTACTGAGTGGGGAGGGGGTGGTGGTGACATGACTGGACCTGTGATTTAGGAAAATCACTTTAGGGGCTGAATGGAGGATGGATTGGAGTGGGAAGACATTTGGGGCAGGCCCCACCAGCAGCTATTACAATAATCCATGTGAGGTGAAGAGGACCTGCACTTGAGTGGTAGCAGTGTCAGAGGACAGAAGGGGGCATATTCAAGAGATGTTGCAAAGGTGAAATTGACAGACTGAATATGGGGAGGGGGATGAGAGATAGTGAGGAATCCAGGCTGACTCTTAGGTTGTGAACCTGAGGGATTGGGAGGATAGTGTTGGCCTCTACAATAACAGGGAAAGTAAGGGGGCGGGGGTTAGGGCAAGAGTGGTGAATCTACAGCCCTGAGGCCACACGTGGCTTTCTAGGTCCTCAAGTGGCACCCTTTGACTGAACCCAAAATTCACAGAACAAATCCCCTTAATAAAAGGATCTGCTCTCTAAAAGTCGGACTCAGTCAAAAGGCTGCACCTAAGGACCCAGAAGGCCACATGTGGCCTCGAGGCCAGAGGATCCTCATCCCTGGTTTAGGGGAAAGCTAATGAGTTTCATTCTTGACATCCAATTCAAGATGTCTGAAAGGCAGTTGAAGATGCAAGATTGGAGGTCAGCAGAGTTTGGGGCAAGATTGATAGATTTGAGAGTCATCAGCATAGAAATGGTAGTTAAACCAATGGGAGATGAGGAGATCACCAAGAAAACTAGTAAAGAGGAAGAAGAGGAGAGGGCCTAGAACAGAACCCTGAGGAATACCTATGGTTAGAGAGTATGATCTGGAGAGGGATCCAGCAAAGGAGATGGAAAAGTGGTCAGAAAGATAGGAGGAGAAGCAAGAGTGGTGTCCTTAAAAACCTAGAGAGGACAGAGTATCAAGGAGGAGAGAATGATCAACACTGTCAAAGGCTGTAGAGAGGTGGAGGAGAATGAGGATTGAGAAATTATTGCTTGTACAATTTTGGGCAAGTCATTTAATTTCTCTTGGTCTCTGTTGTCTCATTTATAAAATGAGGGGGTTTGTCTAGATGACCTCAAACGTCTCTGCCAGCTCTAAATCTGTGGTCTTACAAGGTACTGTGCTAGGTTCAAGAGATTCAAAGATGAAAATGATCTCAAGGAACTTAAATTCTACTGTTCTTCCTAAAACATGGAGCCCAGAACAGAAAACAGTGCTCAGGAAATGGCATCATCAGGGCATGATACAGTTAAACACTTACATTCCTAGACCTGAACACTCGGATGTTGCTCTTTAATGCAGTCTAATCACATCACACTGTTGACTCACATTGAGCCTGCAGTCAGATTTCTTTTCAGATGAGGTACTGCCCAGTCATGCCTTCCCCATCCTGTACTTGTGAAGTTAATTTTCTGAATCCAAATCTAAGGCTTTACATTTATCCCTATTAAAATTTACATTTATTAGATTTAGTCAAATGTGCAAGCCTGTCCAAATTTTCTTGGATCCCGACTTTGTCATCCATCATGTTAGCTATCCTTCTTAGCTTTGTGTCAACTGCAAATTTAATAAGCATGTTATCTCTCCAAGTTTTTGACCAAAATGTTACAGCACAGGGCCAAGGACAGATCCCTTACAAATCATCCAAGCTGACATGGCACCATTAATGACTACTCTTAGGGTCTGGCCATTCAACAGATTCTACATTAATCTAACAAATTCCATATTAACCTAACTGTACTGTTGTCTAGCATATAGCACTCCATGTTGCCCCCCCAAAATCCATGAAGGACTTTGTTAAATGTTTTACTAAAATATAGGTAGACCATATTCCATAGCATTCCCCTGATTCTACAAATCTAATAACCCTGTCAGAAAAGGAGATGAGATTAGTCTACCATGACTTGTTCTGGATGAAGCTGAATACTGGCTCTTTGTGATATACATATATATACGTGTGTGTATATATATGTATATGTATATATGTGTGTGTATACATACATACACATATATACATATATATCTCTGTGAGATATATCTCTTTGTGATATATATGTATACATATGTACACACATCCACATACATACATACATACATACATACATACCTAGGATATTTCTTTGTATACTCAGTAGCTGAGCACAGTGCTTTGCTCACAGTACACATTTAATAAATGCTTGCATATAGTAGACATTTAATAAATGTCTGCTGAATTGAAGTGACTTGCTGGATGATGTATGGAATTCCCCATCCTCCTTTGTGCTCTGTGAGTTTTCCATTCTTTTCTTCATTTCCTGGGGATTTTGTGTGTAGTTCATACAAGAAATGAATTAATGTGCAGCCCAACAGGGTGAGAAAAACAGAGGTTATTACAGATAACATCATTTAGGTGAGATAATCCATCATTAGCAAACAGAAATATTTGCATTATAAGCCAAAGCTTACTTAAAGATTCTCATTTATCAATGTTGTTTTAAGGAAGAACTATCTGGAAATCAAGGGCTAGGCAAAGATGTAACAAACAAAGAGTGTCTTTTCCCCTTCCAGGAAAGACACAAATGCTGAACCTCCAATAACCTTAACCAAATGACCTGAAATTTGCAAATCAAGATAAACATCTTGTATTCCCACTGGCCCCTTGGGTTTATTCCCAGGACCACTGGGACTCCCTCCATCTGCAGAAAAGTAGAACAAGCCTTCCTATTAAGAGACATCAGTTGGACTTGAATGGCCTGGGCTTTCACTCCAGAAACTAACTAACAGTGTTTTTGGTTCAAGCCACAAATTACAACCAAAACTTCCTTTCTAAAGAAGAAAAGCTACAGAGAAGGACTCCTGGACGAGGCCAAGAATCTCTCATCTCTTTAAAATTTTAGTTTGTTTTCATCTTGTATGGCAATGATCACTTTTAGTTTCTCAAGAAAGCATGAAGGCCCCAGTGTTAGTTACTGAAGAGACCGATGCAGAGATATTCTTATGCCCCTACGGCCAGTTCTATAACCTAGATCTTGGAGAGGAAAATAATAATTGGGAATGGTCCCAGAAAACTATACTCAGGCTTTATTGTTTTTTACCAAAGGCTGTTAAGAGACCTTTTAAACATCTGTTTCAGAGAGAGAGAAAACAGTTGCTTCAGATGGTCAGAGTTAAACACTTCACTTTGAAGGACCTTCTAATACCTGGAAGGAAAGAAAAACACATAAACCTTGAAGAGGCTCTGAGGTCTGAGCCACCTGAACTGTTTTTTTCAAGTGTCCTGCAGCTTTACTTCTCTTTCCATTTTTTCACAGGATGGGAGCAATGTGTCACTCCCTTTGCGGGATAGGGAAACTGGTAAGGGGGCTGCTTCCCAGCTGCTTTTCCCTTTCGGTGCTTTAGGCGTCTGAAGGATTCCAGGTCCCTGTGGGTACTCATGATCAGTCGGCTAAAAAAGAATGGGGGAAACTGGATGTGAGTTATTATCATCTATATTGTCATCTTCATGGGCAGTTAGATGCTGCAGTGGATTGAATGCTGGACTTGGAATTAGGAAGAACTGAGTTCAAATCCTACCTGGGATACTTCCTAAGCTATGTGATCCTGGGCAAGTCACCTAGCCTCTCAGTATCAGTTTCCTCATCTGTAAAATGGGGACAATAATATCCCCTACCTCTTCCAGGTTTGATGTGAGGATCAAAATACTCCATAAATCTGAAAATATTAACATTAATGCTAGCTATTTTTTAAATAAGTTAGAACAATATAAACCTATTCGAGTAAAAAAAAAAACCTAACAAAACTCCTCTCTACAGCCCCAAAATTGTGACTTCTCTATCTTTCTAAGAACATGATGACCTGAAAAGGAATACAATACAAAATGGGAGATGAGTGATGAGGTCAAGGCAATCTCCCCCCAAACTGGACCTGACTGGGTAATCAAGAGGAAGCCATCAGACCACACAACAGAAGAACAGATAGCCATGATCCCCCTAGTCTCTAATCAAAATATTTCCGTCATAGTGGTTCAGTGGTAAGTAGCACTGGACCAAAAGTAGGAGAACTGTGCTCAAATCCCTGCTCTGAAACCTAAAGGAATTGTTATTTATTGTTCAGTTGTGTCCAACTCTTCATGATTTTCTTGGCAGAGATGCTGGAATGGTTTGCCATTTCTTTCTCCAGCTCATTTGATAAATGAGGAAACTGAGGCAAACAGAATTAAGTGACTTGCTCACAGATATATGGCTAGTATGTGGTAAGTGCCTGAGGCCAGATTTGAACTCAGGAAGATGAGTCTTCCTGATTTCAGGACCAACACTATATCCACTGTGCCACAGCTTAGTTGAATAATCCTGGGCAGATTGCTTAACCTTTCCTAGACTTAGTTTCGTCATCTGTAAAATTGACATAATTATGTTTGCCGCACTACCCACCTCCTAGGGTGGATGGGAGGAAATCAGGCTATAAAATTAAAGTGCCACAGAAATATGAGTTGCCATTATTATGGTAATCAAAAGAGCCTTGATCTTGGTTCCAAGAAGAGTTGGTTTCAAGTCTTGGCCCAAATGCTTGATGGCAATGTGCCTTGGCTAGTCTCATTACTTCTCTGAGTACTGGCTGTCTCGTCTGTTAAATGGAGATACAAAGAACTGCTCTCCCTCTCTCCGAGGGCTGCTGTGAGCAATGGTTAGCATTCTATGAATATGAGTCACTGTTATCATCATCATCATCATCATCATCGTTATGTTCATAGGAAACTTCAGGAGTTTACCAGAGCTATAACCTGCATGCCTGGACAGGTAGGACATAGGTTTGGTTGTCTGCAGGTGGATTTACCTTGGGATTTGTTTTCTTTGCCTTATTATTGTTAATTCACATCTTGCTGTAGTCCCTGACAGAAGTGTTTCTTTAATCCTGAACTCAGCCCTCTCTGTTCTTCCTTCCCTCAGCCTCTTGACCTCTCACATTCCCATATTTACAGAGTGCTACTGTCCCCTTCCCTGATGCAGAAGCAAGTCCTTACTTGAGGTTAGACAGCTCAACAGTCAGGCCACAGACAATAGCTGTGGCGTCTTCTCTTGGGGGGTCACAGATGCTTTCTGCCATCTCATCCCTTACAGCAAAAAAGAAAGAAAAGGGTTAGGAGAGACTCAGTTGTGTGGATTTACTCCAACTCATTCCTTGGTAAAACAGATTTGAAGGTCTTCAGGCAAACCAGACATTGGTTTCTATTATCCCCCAAGCCACCCATTAAGTACTGTTAAAATAGCTGTGATTTCAAAATGGAATCCCCTTAAAGATAGGAGTCACAAGGAAGGCAGAAGGGGTGGCTGCTAATGAGGGACTATCAAGTGGTCAGCTGATCCCTGCAGCAGGGACAGAGGGACTGCTGGAAGCACATACACCACCATGATGACACAGTGTGTGGATCAGAGCAAGAAGTAGGAACTGACAGAGACTGACAGCACAGGAGAAGAGGAGAGATGCTAAGCTGAGGAGCACAGGAGTTGGGGCTACTTAGTGCAGTGCAACTTGCCCTCAAGAATTCCTTAGGGAGCGCATGAAAGTATTATAAGACAATAAAATAAATGATGGTCACAATGGGGACCCAGAGGAATCAAGAAAAGTTTGGAATACTCATATATTTTAGAATCACAGTATTTTAGACTCTGAAGAAGGAACCTAAGAAGCCATCTGGTTCAACTCTTTCCTGAGTAGTATTCCTCACTAGAACCTCTGCATAGAAACCACCAGTGATGAGGAACTCATCATGTTCTGAGGAAGTTCATTCCACTTTTGGAGAGCTCCAATTGTTAAATTTTTTTCAAGCCAAAATTTTTCTCTCTGCAATTTTCTCCTATTGCCCCTACTTCTGGCCTCTGGGGTCAAATAAAATAAGTATAATTCCTCTCTGAGAGGTAGCATGGTTTAGTGCAGGGGTGGGGAACCTGTGGCCTTTAGGCCACATGTGGCCTTCTAGGTCCTTGGGTGTAGCCTTTGACTGAGTCCAAGTTTTAGAGAACAAATCCTTTTATTGAGGTGATTTGTTCTGTGAAGTTTGGATTCAGTCAAAGGGCCACACTTGAGGACCTAGAGGGCCACACATGGCCTTGAGGCTGCTGGTTCCCCACCCCTGGTTTAGTAGATAAAGTGTTGGATTTGATGTCAGGAAGATCTGAGTTCAAATTCTGCCCATAACACTTAGTAGCTGTGTGACCTTGGACAAGTCACATTACTTTCCTGCACCTCAGTTTCTTCATCTGTAAATGGCAATAATAATACCTGTAGTTTCTAATTCACAGGATTGTTATGAGGCTCAAATTAGTGAGTGGACCTAATTAATGTACTTTGTTAACCTTAAAGCATTATGTCAATGTTAGCCACTGGGTTCTTTTCTTTCATATAAAATAAATATATTTTTGGTTAAAAAAAAAGATATCTCTATACATTGAATACCTGTTACTAATCTGACAGCACTGCTTCCAAGGAATAGGTCCAGTTAGATGGAGGAGATGCATGAAGGTGATGGGAGGAGTGTGGTCACACTCAGTGTGACCCTCAGTTACAGAGAAGATGCTGACCTGTACTGGTATAGAGAGTTCCCTTGGTCTGGAGTTCTACATACAAGTGAAGTCACAGTCCAGGGCCTGTGCCATTTAGGACCCAAGTTACATACGTATAACAGCCCTTCAGATGCCTGGAGACAGAAACCATATCCCCCTCATGCATCTCTTCTCCAGGCTAAAGTATCCCCATTGCCTTCAATCCCTTCCTGTACAGTACAGCTTCCAAGCCTCTCAGCACCTTGATCACCTCCTCTGGAGATGCTCGAGCTGTTAATGTCCTTCCTAGCAGGTGGCACCAAGAACACAGTCCAGAAGTATGCTGACTAAAACAGACTAAAAGGCAAATGATTGCCTTTGTTCTGGACGTCATGTTTCTATTGATGAAGCATAGGATCACTTCAGCTCTTCTGACTGCCAAGTCACACCGCTGGCTTGTGCTGAACTTGCCCTGAGCCCTCACCATTTCTTTTTTATATGAACTTCTTTCTAGCTGGAATTTGCAATCCTGAATTTACAGAGCTGATTTTGTGAACCTAAGTGAAGGATTTTACATAATTTATTAATGTAGGGAGATACATGATACATTTTATAAAGATTTACATGCAAATAGTTTAAATAAAATTTATTTTTGATGCTTAAAGGGATAAATTTCAGTTATCTGAAAAATTTAGTCATTTACAACACCCAAAAAAGAGTTGATAAATGAGGGTGTCGTATTCACCTAAGCAGGCCAGGCTCACCATCACATGAACATGTCATACTATTCCAGCCTCCCTGCCTCTGTTCATGTTATTCTTTCTTCTCTCTACTCTGAACACTCTTCTCCCTACTTCTACAAATCCCATCGAGCATCCAGGGAGCGGCCCAAGTCCCACTGCTTCCAGGATGCTATCTATTAATCTCGTGGCTTACAGTTGAATTAAGGAGAGAATCTCACTTTTGCTACTTTATCACCTCCTTCACTTCCCCTCTGCAGGCCTGTGTAAAACAAGGTGCCTTGTTCTAAAATCCTATAATCTTATGACCACAACACACTCAAAGACAGAACAGCAAAACAAAGCAGTTGATAATCAAGTGACAAATGAATGGTACAGACCACAGTAAATATGAAAGGAATTCAGAAGAAGGTTGACCACTTCCTGTCTGGGAAGGCTTCACTTACTTAATAAGATAACAGATTTAGGGCTTGAAGGAATTATGTTGTTCTTCAGTCCTGTCTGACTTTTCATGATCCCATTTAGGGTTTTCTTGGCAAAGATACTGGAGTACTTTGCCATTTCCTTCTTCAGCTCATTTGATAGATGCAGAAACTGAGGCAAACAGGGTTAAGTGACTTATCCAGGGTCACATAGCTAGTCAGTGCCTGAGGCTGGATTTGAACTCATGAAAATGAGTGTTCCTCATTCCAAGTCCAGTGCTCTATCCACTGCACCACCTAGGTTCGCAAAAAGGGCTTTAGGAAACATCTAATCCAATTACCTCCTGGTTAGTTAGTTTGTTGTTTGTCCTTTCTTGAAGAGGACCACGACATTAGGAGAGAGATTATTTGAAAGTGAATTGGATTTGAGTGAAGGAGGGCTATGCAAAGTCAACAGCCTCACTGTCTCCTTGGGAGCCATCTGGGTTCAGTGGCAAGACATAATAGATCTAGACAACTGGAGATGGCCCCAGATGCAGTGGGAGACCTTGGCCTTTTTAAGTTAAGGTCTTTCCCAGGTCTCAGTTTGTGTGGGGCAACACCCATTCAGTGATTAAGGCTAGGTAAGAAATGAGGCAAAGAATGCCTCTTTTACCTAGTCAAAAGAAAGAAAGAAAGAAAAACAAAAAAAGCTGAGGAAATCAAGAAGAGGGAAGTGAAGTGACTTTTCTGAATCATCAAAGGTTAAAGGAGGGGCCTGAATTTGAGCCAATATCCTCTGACTCCAATAAAGTGCTCCCTCTACTATACCACACTGCCACTGTCCTCTAGAAGCAAAATGGGGATACTCATGATTGTGTAAGTAGAAAAGAAAGTCCAGAAAGTCTGTTTCCTATGTTAACAATCATTTATCTCCTACACAACAGCCCCTTTACGGAAGCAATCTCCTAGCCTGGACTGGCGGTCTCAAAGGGAAAGGGAGGCTGGAAGGACCAGGATGGCTTTTCATTCTACCACCTACCTACGCTGTAGCTTGCTGTGGGAAGAAGTGCTTTTCAGGGCCATTGGAGACTTTGAGGGAACTTGCTCTTCATCAGGATGAGGATTTTTTCCAGGCAAGGAGGGAACCAACCTGTTCTCCACAGGAGATGCCTGGAAAAGAGGACACATAAAAAGATCGCATGTGTGAACAGCAGCTCAAAGCCAAACACTGCAGGGGGTACTTGGAGAATAGTCATTCAAACAAGCCTTCAAGTAGCAGCAGCCAGGTGCCCATAGCCTCAACTCTTACCCAACCAAAAATTAGGCTTGGGTCAAATAGTAGTGACTATAAAAGAGCAGTGGGGGAAGGGAGGAGGACCAAAAGGAAAAGAGGCAACCTGGTGTAGTAGTTAGGGCACCAAACTGGAAGCAAAAGGACATGGATTTGAATCTCAGATTTGTTACTTACAACCTGGATAACCTTGGACAAGTTACTTGAAGTCTCTGGATCTCAGTTTCCTCATCTATAAAATGGATTTTCCCTACCCACATCACAGGACCACATAAAGGCAGTATGGGAGGCAGAGATAAGATGGCAGAGTAGCAGGAAGAAGTACAGTGAGCACTTCTCTCTCCCCTGCCAACTCCTCTAAATGGATCTAGAAAATGCACCAGAAAAAATCTTGATTAGAAAAAAAAAATCCTTCTAGTCCAGGTGGGCATAAGGAGACAGAGGGGCCTGTGTACCCTGGGATCATGGTCTGGTTCAGAACATACAATCAATTAAAGCAAATAGATCCTAGATCCAGCAGAGAGGGACCCACATTTGTGTAGGGAGCAGAAACAAGAGCCACCTAGCACTTCTGTCACTCATTACTGAGTTTCAGGTCATAGATCCAGTATAAACTATGAAGGGGACCCATGCTTAGAGGTAGCATTCCAGGATAAGAAGCTGTCTCAGGCTTTAGACCACGTACCAAACAAGGGGCAAATTCAGAAGCAAGTAACAGGCGTGGCTTGGACAGAAGAGCTGAGTAGGGTCTCAATTCTAGCCTCTAGATGTCTGAAACGTATAGGGCAACAACCAGGACAGGAATGCCAGACCAAGGGGAAACCTATTGTTCCATCACACTGAACTAGCAGAGCTTTGTAGATGGCTTAGAAGGCCTGGGTACAACAGCACACCATTGAAACTCCAAATGAGACTGTTGCTCAGATCCAAATCTAGGTTCAAAAGTCACAGAGCTCAGACCAGAGTGCAATAATCAGACTTTGCCCGATCACATCACATCACTTTGGGAACACTGAATACTTGTAGGTCCCCAGCCTGAGATACTCCTCTCAGAACGGCACAGAGTCAGACCCAAAGTCAAGAAATAGACTGGAAAAATGAATGAGCAAAATAAGAATCCCGCATAAAGAGTTATTATAGTGACAGGGATGCTCAAGATAAAAGGCCCAAAAGAAAAGAATGACTCTAAAACATCTACAAGCAGAACCTCAAAGAAAAACAGCTTGGGCTGGTCCTGCTGCTGCTTTCTTGGGGTATTGAGTGTTGCTTTATTTCAGGATCTTAGGGATAGCTCAAGCTGGGAACCCTACATATTCAGCTAGAATTTCCTGATGAGATGAAGTAAAAGTTTTTAAAAAAAAGTTTAAAAAGTTTTTATCAATAAAATGAGAGTTAAGAGGGGAAAATGGAAAAGAAATTAGAACTACGGAAGAAAGAATTGGAAAAGCAATTAACAGGTGGCACAAGAGGTACAAAACTTTGCCATGCAACAAACTTCCTGACAATTAGAATGGAGATAGAAGCTAATGACTCTACAAGAAAAGAGATATTAAAACACAAAAGATAAAAAAATAGAAGAAAATATAAGCTATCTCATAGCAAAAACAACTGACCTAGAAAAGTTAGAGGAGAGATAATTTAGGAATCATTGGGCTGAAAATCATCACCAAAAAAAGAGCTTAATCATCATATTTCAAGAAATCTTAAAAGAAAATTGCCCAGATCTCTTAGAACCAGAGGGTAAAGTAGAAATTGAAAGATTCTCCCAGTTCCCTCCTGAAAGAAACTCCCAAATGAAAACTCCTGGAAACATTATAGCCAAAATCCAGAGCTTCCAGGTCAGAGAAAAACACTGCCAGCTGCCAGAAAGAAAGTGCAACACAGTAGCTGCCAGGCCCTCTATTTTGGTGGGGCAGGAAGGAGGGGGGGCTCAGATCTCCACTCCTCCTTCAGGGGTTTGGGGGCCTAACTCTCTGCCATAGGCTCTAGCCCACACATGATGGTATTCCCCAAGTGTAATGAGGGTGGTCCCCAACACCCTAGTTCCATTTGGCCACTAACAATCAGGTCAGCTTTTACGCTTCAGAAGGTATGATCACAAATAAACAAACTTGATCCCCCATCTCAGGAAGGCTAATCCTGCTGCCCCTTATACCACCTCAGTCTCTGGGGAGAAAAGGCAGGGATCAGGTTAATAGTTTAGCTCAGCTCCCATAAAGCTCAGTCCTGGGTCCAAGTCTGGGACTTGAGTCCCAGGATTGCTGGCTTCTCCCAGCTTCCATGCCACCTGAAATCCTGGCTTCAAGGTTGTCATGGCTCCATTTCCTAGTCTGTAAGGATCACTTCTAGCACCTGAAACTGAGGCGGAGGAAAACAGAACAGAGACAAACAACCCCAGGCCCATAAGGAGCAGGGGAGAAAGCAAGTATGCTCAAAAGGTGTCTTCATGTTAGAACTGAGCATGCCCAGAGAAGCCTGGGTTACAAAAGAATTCAGGTACTGAGTAGTCACATTCAGAATCACACATGATTTAGCAGCTCCCATAAAGGAGAGCTCGGAATACCATATTCCAGAAAGCAATGGATAAAGACTTAGAATCAAGAACAACTTATCCATCGAAATTGAGTATAATCCAACAGAGAGAAAAGTGGATCTTGAATAAAATAGAGGACTTTCAAATAGTGCCAATAAAAGACCAAAGCTGCAGTAGATACTTTGCAAACACGTGAATTAAGAGAAACACAAAAAGGTAAACATGACTGAATAATTATAAAGGACTAAACAAGGAAAAACTGCTTTAAAAGTATGGGGGGAAAGGAGAGGAAGGTTAGGGAAAATTACCTTTCATAACCGAGGTGTGCAAGTAGATGCTATAAAAATGAGCAAGAGGTTGGGGAGCAGTTGACAGTTGAACCCCATTCTCATCTGAATTGGTCCAAAGAGGGAATACACATACACATACACACACAGACACACAGAGGTTTGTCCAACAAGAAAATATGAGAGAAAGGGGAGAAGTGAGAAAAGAGAATAAGAGAGAAGGTAAGTTAAGGGAGGGATTAGTCCTAAGCAAAACAAACTTTAAGTTTGCACAAAAATATTAATAACTATTTTTGCTGTGCCAAAGAGTTAGAAACCAAGGGGGTGCCCATGGACCGGGGAGTGGCTGAACAAGCTATGGTATCTAAACATGATGAAGTCCAATTGTTCTGTAAGAAGGAGGGAATGGGAAGGACTCATGATGAAAAATGCTATCTATCTCCAGAGAAAGAACTGATGGAATCTGAATGCAGATCAAAGCATACCTTTTTTTAACTTACTTTATTTTTCTTGTTTTTTTTTCTGTGTTTTCTTTCACAACATGACTAGTATGGAAATATACTTTGCACGAATGCACATGTAAAAAAAAGAAATAAGGAACAGATAGGCCAGTTTCAAAGAAACCTGGGAAGATTTTTATGAACTGATACCAAGTCAATTAAGCAGAACAAGAAGAACAATTTATATGATGACAACAATATTGTAAAGACAATCGACTCTGAAAAACTTAGGAACTCTGATCAACACAATGACCAGTCACAATTCCAGAGGACTTATGATGAAACATGCTACTTCCCGATAGTGAAGTGAAGGACTCAGAGGGTAGAATGAGACATGTTTTTGTTTTTGTTTTTTTGGACACTGCCAATGCATAAGTTTGTTTTCCTTGACTACATATATTTATAACAGGGGTTTTGGTTTTCTTTTTTTCTCAGTTGGGGTGGGGGGTGGAGGGAGAGAAGTTGGATTTCTGGTAATTAAAATACATATAAAAAAAACCTTTTAAAAAGGCAGTGTGGTATGGTGAAAAGAACACTAGATTCATGTACTATCTCCAACACTTATTGTGTGGCCATAGTTAAGTCATTAATACTCTCTGAGCCTCAGTTTTCTCATCTATAAAGTGGGAATAACAATACTTCTGTTACTTATCCAATAACCTCACAAGTTATTGTGATGAAAGCACTTAGTAAACCTTTAAGCACTACAGAATTTGAGTTATTATTGCTATTAATTAATATATACCCCTGTGTGCTCCACCAGACTAAAAATATTAGCCATGGCTGGTTCCCCAAAAGACAAGCTAAACTAAACACTTAGAAAACTACTAATCAAAGGGCAAATGTTGAATCTGATTTCAGATCCAGGAGCCTATGATAACTCCTAATTTACTTCAAGCCCTCTCAGTTTCTGAGTTACTGGACACAGAGGTGGCAGAGAGAGTATATTATTGTTATTTTATCTTTTTTATATCCTTCCAAAGAACCTAATATGACCCTTTGGTTTAGCTAGGCTTTAACTGTGTTCTTTAAACATGCAGGGAAATAGCTGTCATTTCTGTTAAAATCCAGTCAAGGAGAGGAACAGGTAGGTGGCGCAGTGGATAGAGCACCGGCCCTGGATTCAGGAGGATCTGAGTTCAAATCCAGCCTCAGATACTTAGTAGCTGTGTGACCCTGGGCAAGTCACTTAACCCCATTGCCCAGCCAAAAGAAAAATTAAATAAATAAATAAATAAATAAATAAATAAATAAACAATCCGGTCAAGGTGGTTGGAATGACTCAGAATGCAACATCTGTATCAACCATCTGATGATGACTACTGAGCTGTGTGCTCTCTGCCTGAACAACCCGGACTCTCCAACTTTCCACAAGCTGCATTGCACCCTCTGACCACTAGAGGGTAGTCAAGGCCTGAGTTTTCCTCCCCGCTCCCCTTTCCTGAAATGGCTGCCCGCCACTTCCAGCCTTTCCTGAAAAGTGCTTTCCCCCCCCACTCCACCTCTCTGCTGCTTCCTATGTTCACACCTGGGGGATAAAAATATTAAAATAGTAACTG